CAGCAGGACGCCGCATGCAAAGGATCACACAGCGCACAAACACGAGCTTCCTCCTGCAGACACACAAATGCAAGAAAAAAAAAACCACAACAACCCCTACAAGCACTCAGACATACATTTGCACACGCCGCCGTGCCCTTTGTTCTGTCAGCGTTCGGCGGTGATGGATGAGTGTGACTGTGCAGCACACGGAGGGTCATTACACGAGGCCCAGCGGAGGCCTCTCTCGGCCCGGCACCGACGGAGAAACGGGCTCCACAATGCGCCGAGATAGCATCACAGAACAGCGATGATGGAGCGCACCTCGCTAGCGCAAAGCTACAGAGATAAGCAGATGCAGGCACATCTGTCTGCACGCACAAACAGCGACTCCCTCTCTCTCCGACTCACGCCTACACAATCACAAAGAGAGACGAAACACGAGCGCACAAATCACCGCACGAGCCAGACTGTTGTGGAAAGAGTCAATTTGATGGTGTAAAGATTTGCTTTATCAGCACATTAATCACAGCAGCGCGATCACAGGTCATCAAATTAACTGCAGGGGTCGTCCATCAGTTCAAACTGCATCTTGGTTTTTTCTTTTCATTCTCTGATCTGATTCACCTGTTTAGGATGTCATCAGCCCATTAAATGCTCATTATCAATGAATATTAGAAGCATGCAAATGGACCAGCAGGGACGTCCCACGCCTTCTGTTGGACTAAATAGGTCATTATCACTGCTATTGAACTGTTTGAACGGGAAAATGCGCTGATAGGTTTGAAGGGTGTGTTGTCTTCTTTAAAAAAATGTACATATCAGAGTCAGAAAATATAAAAACAGAAGAAAAGCACTGGATGTTCAACCCTTCAATGGTCCTTCAACTGTGATATGTGCAAAAATGAACCAAATCTAAGCTCAAAATTGTGATATTTCATTAAATTCACTTCATCCTACACGTTTCCTGAAAGAAACGAACAAAAAATAACCAATTCATGCCAACCAGCATGTGTGAAAAACTACTAATTCTGCATTTCAATCCCAAAAATGTGGCAAAAAATTCTGGAGCTTTTCAGCTGAACTGCAGGCAGTGTTTACACAGAGCAGAGAGGAGACAAGTCTGGAAACAAATTAAAAACGTAAGCTGAAAAATATGCTGTATTTTTCCAGCATTTGGGAAAATGTTGTTCATGTTGATTCCAGTTCTCTTCCGTTTTTGAAGAACAAATTATCAAATAAATCCAACTTTCTTTTTCTCTCTACTTCATAGTTGTGCTGCTTCCATAGAGGAGCAGGATTTTGTATTTGTAATGAGCCCAACAACAGTCTGAAGTTGGAGAAGAAGGAGGAATAATTCGATTAATCAAGAGATTTGAGTTGGAGTCTCATCTCGGAACATAATTATGTTTCTGTTCTTTGACTTTAGTCTCGTTTTTACTTTTGCTTTCAGTCGATATTTACTCACATTTTCACTGCTTCAGACAATCCCCCCGGAGATTTTACACGCACTTATTTAGTTATCGAGGTTACTTTCCATTCATCAATGATCTGAACGGATGAGGTGAAGGAAGCACCTACTGGTCCATATGTCTGGAAATGGTTTACAGTGATAACATCCATGTAATGGGTGGATACCATCAAACACAGCTGTCAGTGGTTTAGCAGCAGCCTCTCAGTGACTTCAGTTGATAAGTCTTTTATTTACATAGAATCTACATGTTCTTCTGCTGCTGCACAACATTCAGTATAAAACAAATATAGGTGGAGCAAATGCATGTTAAAGTTTTGCATTAAAGCTTGGATTTAGGTTTTATGTTCGGGCCAGAAAATAGATTTTATTTTTGTGTCAAAGGCAGGTAGCGATGAGGAGACCATCCCATTCTCATACATCCTAGTATCCTCTTGGAGCAACGCTAACTTGGTACCGAGGATGTCAGTCCGTCTGATGGTCGGTTGGTTGTTCTGCCACATCGGTTCAGACGGAAACATCTAAACGACGGGATGGATACGAGTTTTAACAAGTATTCATGATGGATAGGAGACATTTCTATGTCCTGATAGCTGCCAAACCAGGAACATTCCCGTCACCTTCTTTGTCTTTAATGCTAATTATCTGATTTTTAAAATAGGATGGCGACCATTTTTACATTAGATCCACACTGAAACACTTTAATTAGCCACACAAACCATAAAATATTGTGGAGAATAACACATTTCATTTATATTTTAAGAGACGCTGATGATCAAGAAGCTCAATCTCTTCTATTCGTGATGCTGTGGTTTGAGCATTTAACTGCACCTTCAGACGCTCGTGCTCCGGCTTTAGGATTCAATTACAGTCGCTGCTGCTGCTGCTGCTTAAAGCAAACACAATCCAAAAGTGCCCGCTGTGTTCTTTCCCGTTTTGTGATCCACTCCACTTGTACCCTCCAACAATGCAACACAAAGAGTAACACGGTCATTATGTCTGAATAAAATCATGTGAGGGCCAATCAGTGAGGGGACACGTCACCAACGGCTGATTGTTTTCTGCAGTCCTGCTGGATTTAATGACAAATTCATTCTAATGAGTCACATGAAAAGCAGCCGGGGCAAGTAGGGACAACATACCCAAATGGTACGAGAACTTTTTATCCACACTGTAAACTTTTAAGACTAATAGGTCACTTTTATGTGAACAGTTCTGACATTTGCAACCCTCATGGCTTAATGGAAGAACTACGTCTTCAAATGTTCAATTACAATTTTTCTTTCCCCCTCATGCCTTCATTGTTCTGTCAGAACAGTGTGTATAGTATGTAGTAGCACATGTAGTTTTGTTTGTACGCATTAATACGCCAATGTTCGCGTTACGGCTGCACAATTATTCAAACATCCATCACGATGTTGACGCATAAAATTAGTGTTTCTCTCAAAGAAAACAGCCAAATTGGATAAAATCCCCAAATCACAGCTTGAACCTGACATTAAAAGGCCTTAAATCACTCTCTGAAGTCATTTTTAAGTCTCACACAATGACTGGGGACACGAGAAGCTGCCTAGATAGCATCTAGTCTGCATGTAGCAGACTAGATGCTATATTAAGACAAGCGTTTATGAAACATCTGTAAATTGTTTTGTTAAAAGGCAGATGTTGCACGTGTTTTGTACAGTTATATTTATATTTTCCTCTAGGAGATGCTCTGAATTCTGGTGAAGAAGAACCGTATTTGAAGCCATATTTGTCAGTGACCAGTGTTTTTTGTGAATATGCTAACATTAGCATCGCAGCTGCACAATTATCCAAACATCAACCACGATTTTGCCTTTAAACTGAGCTTCAAAATGTGTGCACCTTTCACAGAAAGCAGCCTACATAGATAAAATGACCTTATAATGCCTAATTTGTGCAC